GTCTGCTACAGAGGCTGTCTTGCTGCTCCCGGCAGCCTCATCTGCCCTCCAGAGTCAGCCCTGTGGTCCCCACTGCCCTGACATCCCCCTCCCTCCCAACACAGGCATATTCTGGGTTGCTCCTCGATTCCATTCTCAACTATTGTCATGCCACCCGGCTCTCCCAGCTTGCCCTCTCCTGGGCCCCCAAGCAGATATGCTTTGTGTTCTGTACTCCTCAGGGGCTCTGTTCTTTATTACTGCCCCTTCCCAGGAACAAAGCCTGAGCCTGGAGCTGCCCTGCAATCTCAGAGACGCCCCACTGTGCCGCCTCGTGGCGGTCCTGGCTTTGATCTCCTCCAGTGCCCCGAGATCAAGAGTGTGCGTGCCTCAACTCTCTCAGAGAACACTCAGAATCATGAATTATGTGGCAAGATTTATACAGTTGATTTCATAAACTTTGCGCAGTTTTTTAAATCATGGTTTCCCAGCTATAAAATTTTGTCTTTGTTAATTTGGAAATGATGGTGAGGAGACCCCACCCCTCTTGTTTCTTACCCACTCTCCCTGGAGGCTTTATATGTAGCCTCCATGTATTCAGGCATGGAGTTTCTGAGGCCCTCATTCAAAAATCAGCTGAAGCTCTCAGCACCCCAAGTACCATCAAAATATCTAAATTTCCAAAGTTCACAAACTAGGTCCCATTCAAATGTAATTTTTGAGCATCTACTCTGTGCCAGGCACTATTCTTAGTGCTTGGCTGATATAAGTGAACAAGGTAGACAAAATCTCTGCTCTCAGACAGTTTCAGACAGCAATACATGCTATGAAGAAAGTAATACATGGTAATGTGATTGATAGTGATGGGGATGGTGAGGGATGCCTCTCTAAAGAGGTGAAATTGATGTGTGATCTCCATGACAAGGAAGAGCCAGCCATGAGAAGCCCCAGGCAAAGAGTGCTGTTAGCAGGAGGAGGGTTTGGGGTAAAGTTGGCAGTGGGAGGGCCAGTGAGCCCAGAATGGAATGTAACTGAGAGATGGGGAGTGATGGGATATGAGATAAGAGAGGGAGGTAAGGATGATGCCATATAGGGCCTTGTGGGACTAGGTGAGGAGACTGAATTTTATCTGAGTACTATAGGAAGCTATTGCATGGTTCAACTAGTGGGAGATCAGGATCTGTTTAACTTTTTTGTCTTTTCTCATTAACGTTTTTGAAAACTGAGATATGATGTATATAACATTACTCTTTTAAAAGTGTACAATCCATTGGTTTTAAGCAGTTCATAATGGATACAACCATTACCACTAATTCCAGAATATTCCCACCCCCACCCCCCAAAAGAAGCCCTGTACCTGTTGGCAGTTATTCTCCTTGCCCCTTTCTCCAGTCCTTGGCAAAAAAATTGTCTAGTTTCATATCTATGGATTTGTGTCTAATATAAACTGAATGACATAGCCAACTGTGTTTAGCTTCTTTTACTTGGCATTATGTTTTCAAGGTCATCCATGTTGTAGTATGTAATAGTATTTGATTCCTCTTTATGGCAAAATGATATTCCATTGTATGTATATACTACGTTTTGCTTATGCATGCATCTGTTAATGGATATTTGAACTGTTTCACTTTTTATCTTTTATGAATAATATTGCTATGAACATTTGTATACAAGTTTTTATATGACTATATGTTTTCATTACTCTTGAGTATATACCTGTATGAATATATACTTTATTTCTCTTCCATATAATTGCTAGGTTATATGATAACTCTTTGGGTTTCCCAGGTGGCGCTAGTGGTAAAGAACCTGCTTGCTAATTTGCTAGTACAGGAGATGTAACAGATGGGGGTTGAATCCCTGGGTTGGAAGATCTCCTGTAGAAGGCAATGGTGACCTACTCTAGTATTCTTGCCTGGAAAATTCCATGGACAGAGGGGCCTGTTGGGCTACAATCCATGAGGTTTCAGAGTTGGACATGACTAAGGAACTAACACACACACACACAGTAACTCTTTAAATTTTGAAGAACTGCCAAATTACTGTATTTTCCAAAGTGACTGTACCACTTTCACAATATCAGCAATTTATAAGGATTCCAATTTCTCTACATCTTTGCCAACGCTTGTTATTTTCTATTTTTATCATTATAGCCATTCTAGTGGATGTGAAGTATTTTAAGGTGTTTTTTTTTTCCATTCCCCTAATAACAAAGGATGTTAAGAGTCATTTCATGTGCTCATTGTCTATTTGTATATCTGCTTTGGAAAAATGTGTACCCAAGTCCTTTGCCCATTTTAGAACTGGGTTATTGTATTCAATTTACAATGTTGTGTTAATTTCTGCTGTGCAGCAAAGTGATTCAGTTATACATACACACAAATTCTTTTTCATATCTTGTTCATTATGGTTTATCCCAGGATATTGAATATAGTTCCCTGTGCTATATAGCAGGACCTTGTTGTTTACTCATAATATATATATATATATTATAATGTATATAATAGTTTGCATTTGCTAAATCCCAAACTCCCTATCCACCCTTCCCACCCTCTGCCACTGGCAACCGCAAGTCCATTCTCTATGTCTGTGAGGTCTATTTCTATTTAGAAAATGAGTTCATTTGTGTCCTATTTTAGATTCCATATATAAGTGATATCATGTATTATTTGTCCTCCTCCTGACTTACTTCACTCAGTATGACAATCTCTAGGTCTATCCGTGTTGCTGCAAATGACATTATTTTATTCTTTTTTATGGCTGAGTAGTATTCCATTGCATATATGTACCACATCTTCTTTATTCATTCATCTATCAGTGGACAGTTAGGTTGCTCCCATGTCTTGGCTACTGTAAATAGTGCTGTTACGAACACTGAGCTGCATGTGTCTTTTTGAATTATAGTTTTCTCTGGAATATGCCCAGACATGGGATTGCAGGATCATATGGCAACTCTGTTTTTTGAGGAATCTCTATATTGTTTTCCATTGTGGCTGTACCAATTTACATTCCCACCAAGAAATGTAAGACTGTTTCTTTTCCTCTCTCCAACATTTATTATTTGTACACTTTTAATGATGACCATTGCTGGATGGCATCACCAACTCGATGGACATGGGTTTGAGTAAACTCCAGGAGTTGGTGACGGACAGGGAGGCCTGGCGTGCTGCGATTCATGAGGTCCCAAAGAGTCGGACACGACTGAGCGACTGAACTGAACTGAACTGAATGGTGACCATTCTGTCCAGTGTGAGGTGGTATCTCATTGTAGTTTTGATTTACATTTCTCTAATAATTAGCAATGTTGAGCATCTTTTCACATGCCTGTTGGCCATCTGTATGTCTTCTTTGGAGAAATGTCTATTTAGGTCTTCTGCCCATTTTTTTTATTGCTTTTTTTTTCATTATTGAGTTGTATGATCTGTTTGCATATTTTAGAAATTAAGCCCTTGTTGACTGCATCATTTGCAAATATTTTTGCCCAGTCCTTAGGTTGTCTTTTCATTTTGCTTATAGTTTCTTTTGCTGTACAAAAGCTTATAAGTTTGATTAGGTCCCATTTGTTTATTTTTTATTAGAAAGTTAGTCTTTCTTAATGATCTGCCTGACAAAAGACCAGGAATTCTCCTTCAATAACCATTCCAGTATCATTTTATTCTAGTAGTCTGGAAGTTCTTTTTGTCCAGTAGAAATCTCTCCTATTTTAAACCCACTTTTTCTCATTTGATCTTCTGTACTATAGACTTATTGGAAAAGACCCTGATGCTGGGAAGGATTGAAGGCGGGAGGAGAAGGGGACTACAGAGGATGAGATGGTTGGATGGCATCACCGATTCAATAGACATGAACTTGGGCAAATTCTGGAAGACAGTGAGGGAGAGGGAGGCCTGGAATGCTGCAGTCCATGAGCTTGCAAAGAGTTGGACATGACTGAGCAACTGAACAACCACAACACTATAGACAAAACAAAACAAAGCCAATTCTTTCAAAACCCCTTTAGCCTTTAAGAAATGGTAAAGGATCATTTATCAAGGCATTTGAACACTGGTAACATCCAAACAACAGAACAGTGATGATGATTTCCTCTGCCAGTGTTGGCCCAGTGGCCCAGGTCACTCAATGCAGACAGGACAGTGCTGATTATAACAGGCAGATAGAAAATAACCTTGTCAGTAGCTATTTCAGGTGAAAGAAGAGCACACATTTTATGAAATAAAGGTCAGTTACTACTGAGCAAAAAAAAAAAAAAAATACCGTTGTAGAGGCTGAAACCGACGTTTGGAAATGAAAAGGACTGCAAAAGCAAGCAGACATTGATGAATCTGTCCCAATGAGTGTTGTTCATGTCTCTTCTAGTTTTGCCCAAAGCAATTTCAATAAATCCTGTTAGCAATTTTCTCACACTTCTCTCTACAGATCATCAGAATTTCACAATAAGTAAATGTGATTTGCTTTTTTATTATTTCATACTGCTTTGGGAAGGACTATTTTAATAAAATTAACATGCATCACAAATTCTGTTTTTTTATAATGTGAGAATTGAAATGCATAACCTATTTGTTGTTTTTAAGATCATTAAATATTTAGACGTTTTCATAATGTGCTACATTTCTGTTGTTATTACTTTAAGGTAAACCCAGATAGCTTTACTTGATAAAAATGACAACGGATCCTTAATCCATGCTTTGCTTGATTTACTTGTATTAGATTAAAATGTTTTATAATCATACAAGACTTTCAAACTTATATATTTATTTTGATCATTGATTATATCCCATTTTTGATACCACTGTGTATTAATCAGGTTTTGGTTAGGCTAGGCTATCTATGTCATAACAGCAAATTAACTCTCAAATCTCAGTGGCCTCACCTAACAATTTTATTTCTTGCTCATGTTAACTGTGCTCTCTGGGTCAGTGGTGGGCTCTCTTCCACACAGTCTTTTAAGCACCTGGACTGATGGAGAATCCAATATCTTATTGTTGCATCATTAGAACATGAGATTCCATGGCTGCTGCAGCAGAAGAGAGAGCTGCAGGTTCTCACACCAGTTCTTAGATGCTCTGCCCAGAAACGCCATTCATGACTTTTATCTGCTGAAAAGGTCTTTTATTTGATCTCAATGTATTGTTTTGTTTTTGTTTTTGGTCGTTTTGTGTAGCATGTGGGATATTGGTTCCCTGACCAGGGATCAAACCTGTGCCCCCCGCACAGGGAATAGGAGTCTTAACCAGTGGACCGTCAGGGAAGTCTGATCATAATGTTCTTTTGAAGTTCAGAATAATCTTGTCTTTAATTATGTCACCCCTTCTTATTCTTTTCTTGTGAACTCTATTTTTGTTAACCTCCTCTAACTGTTAGCATTCTTAAGTGTAGACAAAGAATTGGGTCTAGGTTATTTAATGAGAAGGGATTTTATGAAGGAAGATTAGAAAGCCCAGATAATCATCTGGAAAGGCTGGAGGAACAGGTTTGAGGCCAAGTACCCGCAGTCCCAGAACCCAGCAGTCTTTTTTTTGCAATGGGGAAGACACTATTCCCACTGCTGACCCCAGAGCCATGACACTGAAGCCACTGTGCCAGCAGAATGGATGTCTGGGCCCTATCTGCTCTATAGGTGTTTTCTAGCCAGCACACGGAGAGACAGAAATTAAGGTTTAGGACCTCACCTTAGAGTCAGAGGCTTGGGAGATTACAAAACGTTTAATTTTAGAATTTACTCTGGGATAATAGAATTCTGGGATAAAACAATGTGGGGAACTGTTAATATAAGATGTAGGGTGGTTTTCAGCAGATTTGAGGCTGCCATGTATAACAGATATTTACATTACTTTCTTTTACAACTCGTTTTCTTTGCCCTTGTAAATTTGTTTTCTGTTACAGAAATAATACAACTAGACAACTAGAAATAAGACAACTAGACAATAAGAAAGAAGGACAGAGACGACCTGACACCACCTTAACATAGACACTGTTATTATTTTGGCATATTTCCTTTTTGCTCCTTTTCTATGCAGAATTCTCTCCTATAAAATTATCTGACAATGAATACTGATTTCCTAGTGAAATATTAGAACACAAACATTTCCCCCCCATGTTGTCACATTATCTTCAAGATCATGGATTCTAGTGACTGTGCAATACTGCAAAGGTTGGAATGGCTTTTCTATGTAAATTTACCATGTAAATATAATACTGTGATGCAAGTCAATAGGTATAACTTCTAGAACTGATTACAACTGTATGCTTATTTGTTCATTTATTCTGTGATTGTATCAACATCTTGATGGTTTCCTTATTTTACAGTTTTCATCAAGATGCACAACCTCAGAGAGACATAAAGACTCAAAGCAGATAAGGAAGGAAATGTGAAATTTTTAGGCAATTGGTTAAGTACATAAAATATAATCTTCACTCTTTATTTATTTATTTCTGGCAGTACCATAAGGCATGCGGGATCTTAGTCCTCTGACCAGGGGAACCTGTGCTCCATGCACTGGAAGTATGGAATCTTAACCACTGGACCGCCAGGGAATTCCCAATCTTCATTCTTTAGAAAAAAGAGACTTTTAGTATCATCCATGCTAGTAGTGATACTGAAAGCCTGACCTCTGTATAGCAGCGCCAAATCAAATCTTGGAGACAGAGTTTTGGGTGAAGTACAAAAGAGATCAAACAAAAGAGATCCCTTTATTGCTTTGCCAGGCAAAGGGGGAAATATAGAGGGCTCCAGTGTCCCTTAAAGCTCTGTGTCCCAACCCAGGAGGATTTGATGAGGAGTTTTATAGTAATGGTTCAATGGTGGGGTTGCTGATAAAATTAAGATGTGTGTGCAGGGCCAGCACTCTAATCTCATCTCAGTTGGTCTCCTAATTTTGATGAGATTTTCTGAACCTCTGATGAGGTTCCTTTAATTTTGTCTCAGGTGGTTTCTTGGCTGCTCCTCCCTTGATTAACAACTGCTCAAATCTGACCTTTGGAATGGAAGGAAGATCGTGAAGGCTAGAGTCCATTCCCTACAAACAAGGAATGCGGGACAGAAAGGCTTTCATGCCCAGAAGCCCCTCAGAGTCCTGCTTGGTTTCAGTAGCCAGGTAATTTTAAAATCCAGACAACTGTTCCATTATTCATTTGCTTATGTCATCATAAATTTGATATCATTTCTGACCATTATATACAGCAAAATCCAATTTTGTTGAACTATCCCTCCCCTTCAAAAGAGAAAAAGTCACACACACTAATAACCTTAAGAAAGATCCATTAATTTTTTTTTTTAAGATCCAATAATTTTTGTAATGAGCACTCACTATTCCAAATAACTCTGCTAGGCCCAGTGTGAACACAAAGATGTATCACATATACTGCCTGCCAAGGAGACATTTAAAATCTCTGATCAGGAACTTTAGTTTAAAAAGCAGCAGTGTGTTATATTGTCTTTTAAGTTTTATTTAAAGGCACTAAGAAAAAAAATTTTCTATTTCTTTAATTGCGTGTCTATTTTTTGTCTATTTCTTTAATTTAATGTCTATATGACATGCTGGATTTTCACTAAACTTATTTGATAATAATTTTATGATGTGTGTAAGTCAAATCATTATGTTGTATACCTCAATATAACTAGAAAAAAAAACCCAAGTGTTTATTTTGCCAATAGTTATAGGTTTGGGAATATAAAGAATAATAAAATACTCCCTGAAAAGATTATAGGAAGTAGAGTAGTTTAGGAAATAAAGAGACAAAAGAAAAAAAAAATCACTAAATATTATTTTATAATTAAGCACAGTGTGCCTCTTGGTATATAAAATCAAAACTAACTAAAACTGAGTTTTGTTTTAGACAAAGAAAGATAGGGGAAAATAAGTTTACGGGCTATGGGAGCATAGAAAAGACATAAATGAGAGATTCTGTGTCACTCTTTAGGAAACTATACATATTTAGTACTAATAGAGCAAAACATTTATCTATCTATGCTGTATGTGTATATATGTATGTGTATATATATAATAGATAATAGAATCAAAGTTCTGTTGACTTAAAAAAGATGCACGACGTGAGAGCTGCGAGTCAAGTTTTACTTGGGGCAAAATGAGGACTGCAGCGTGGGAGATAGACATCAGAGAGCTCTGAGAAACTGCTCCAAAAAGGTACCGGGGGAAGGTCCACATGTGTGATTTTGGTGAAGGGGGAGTTCACATTCAACCAAGCACTAGTCTTACAAAAGGTTTTCTGCTAGTCACGAGGAGCTGATGTCACCATGAAGGGATTTACTGGTTTTCTAGATATGAGGAGATGCAAGGATTGGGATCATGAAATCAGTTTCTAAAAATATCTAACTATCTAAAGACCTGTTCCCCCAGTTTTCCTGGAGCACAGAGTGCCTCATTCTCCACCCTAACTCCCTTCAGGGCATGTTGAAGGTCAATAGCTACAGCAGCCCAGGATTCAGTCTCCTCAGAGGCAGATGGCAAATGCCCTTGGCAAGCTCCAATTTGTAGCTGACATTTCTAATTAAAATATATAATACAATATCATTTATCTTAAGAAGATGTAAAGTATTTGTTTGAGACTTTCCAATAGTTTTTGAGAGCTGACTGTGGGGAGTGGAATAGGGAGTGAAATAATGTATACTTTTATTTTACATACACTATAACTTTAAAATTGTGAAAAAAAGGAATTAATAATCATAAACATGCATTCTTTAATTACAAAATGCTAGAGGCTATGGCAAATAGTTTAAGAATGGTGAGTGGTATGTTTATGATTATATCTATTATGGTAGACATGTAGACTGTATGCATTTGTCAGAAGTCATCAATTTATATACTTAAAATTGGGGAATGATATATAAATCACATCTCAATAAGCATAAAAAATAACTAAAAAATAAAGGCACTAGAAGAATTGGGTTTATAGTCAAGGGATATGAGTTTTATTCATAATTCTAGCACTGTGTTATTTTTGACAAGTTTTTCAAACTCTCTGGACCTCAGTTTCCTCATTGGTAAAGAGAAGTTGTCAGGCTGGGTGAGAGTTCAAATGTCTCACCCCTAACATCCTGAAAATACAGGCTATATCCTACAGGCTGTCAGTGGTTTTCTATCAAAAAAGAATAATAAACATATATATAAGTGTATTTATTATATGTGTATATATTTACATGTTCTTGTTCAGTTGCTAAGTTATGTCTGAATCTTTGCGACCCCATGGACCGCAGCACTCTAGGCCTCCTTGTCTCTCACCATCTCCCGGAGTTCACCCAAGTTCATGTCTATTGAATCGGTGATGCTATCCAACAAAAGACTTTTGAGAATCCCTTGGACAGCAAGGAGATCAGACCAGTCAATCTTAAGCGAAATCAATCCTGAAAACTCACTGGAAGGACTGATGCTGAAGCTGAAACTCCAGTATTTTTGGTCAGCTGACATGAACAGCTGACTCTGGAAATGTTCCTGATGCTGGGAAAGATTGAAGGCAGAAGGAGAAGAGGGCAGCAGAAGACAAGATGGCTGGATGGCATCACTGAAACAATGGACATGGACTTGGGCAATCTTCAGGAGATGGTGAGGGACAGGAAGGCCAGGCATGCTGAAGCCCATGGGGTCACAAAGAGTCAGACATGACTGGGTGACTGAACAAAAACAACTCTGCATGTAAGTTAAATAAACAAGGTGACAGTATACAGTCTTAACATACCTCTTTCCCAATTTTGAACCAGTCAGCTGTTCTGTGTAAGGTTCTAATTGTTGCTTCTTGACCTGCATACAGGTTTCTCAGGAGACAGATAAGATGGTTTGCTATTCCCACCTCTTTAAGAATTTTCCACAGTTTGTTGTGATCCACAGAGTCAAAGCCTTTTGTATAGTTAATGAAACAGAAGTAGATGTTTTTCTGGAATTCACATACAAATAACATTTGCTTTGAAAAACTTATAAAATGGGTATCCTGTATAAAATTCATTAAGTACTAGTAGAACCTTAAAATTGATCATGAAAAGAATAATTATCCCTTAAGAGTTTTCTACAGCACTTGGAGTTATGAAAATCTTGACCTGCTTCCATCCTGTAAAAGTGCTAATGAACCTCTGGACAAGACGATCTCAGACAGGATCATTTAGGTGCACGTTTAAGTACAGGATTCAAAACGAAAATCGTTATTGTTTACAAGTACATAATGGACAGTCAGGCTCTGAATATGTAAGGTACTTTTCTAATGTGATGTCATCTAACCCTCACAGCAGCCCTAAGAAGGAGGTATTATTACAGTATTTGTTTTACAGACAAGGAAACTGAGACTCAGGAGGTTATGTAGTTTGTCCAAAGCTAGCAAGCAGCAGAGCCAGTTTTCCAACCCAGGTCTGCCTGACTCCAAAGTCCATGCTCCTTCCATCCCAACCTATCCTGTAGACCTTTCTCACTGATTTAATTAATATTGATATTCCTATTAGGATAATGATCCTAACTTAACTAATTTCTCATATCCCAATGTAGTCAAAACCAGCAAAATCTCTTAGAGAATGAAGGTGAATTTCCAGAAAAGTTTAAAAATACAGTCTTACTTAAAATATAGTCTTTTAAAAATATATTTTTATATAAATATATATGAATATGCACTGGCATTAGTAGAAAGCATCACTATTGGGATATAAATAACTTCCTTTCCATTTTGTCTTTTCCAAGAATTCTCTAAAAATGGCTGAAGAAGAACTTCCTCCGCTGTGCCCCTGGCTGCTCAAGAACATTTGAGTCAAAGTTTCTTTCTGAGTCTCCATCATTTTCGCGTGTGAGCATGTGTGCTAAGTCACTTCAGTCGTGTCCGACTTTTTGCGACCCCATGGACTGTAGGCCCCCAGGATCCTTTGTCCATGGGCTTTTCCAGGCAAGAATATTGGAGTGGATTGCCATGCCCTCCTCCAGAGGATTTTCCTGACCTAGGGATCAAACTATCGTTTTAGAGAAACCCCAAAGGAGTTTTGTTTATCCCTTAAATTTTTTTTGAAGGATACTTCATTCATAATCATTTTTACTTAGCATGCAACCTGTATATCAGGATGGCAAAGCCTTTTACAATTACTAATGCATTCTTCCAGCAGCTTCTGGGGCAACCAACATTTTACAGAAAAGCAAAATGAGATGTAGATCTACATTTACTTGGCCAGAGTGACGCAGTGACTGATTTTCTATGCTTAGAGCCAAGGGAAACTCAGCTCCTTGAAAGATAACATTTTACAGTTACACTGAAACTATAATCACAGAAAGCCCACTTTTTAAATGATTTGGTGATAGAGATGCCTTAAAAAAAGTCTAGAGTTCCCAATTTACTTCTCGGAACTGATTCTCCTTTTGATCTTTCAGGTATCCTCCCTTGAGTTAATTGATAGAAGTTTTTAGCTCTTCATTTTTGCACTGATTTCAAAATGAAAAACACAATGCTATTTTATGTCCAACAGACTTCCTTGCCACCATTTGGCTAGCTCTTTGACATTTTTGTATTAGCATAAAGCTTGATGCTAAATAAGAGAAGTTGCAGCTCTCCCCATAAACAGAAGCCCTCCTATATTTGATTTCTAGCCATATCCACCTGAACATTGGTCCCTGTTATTAAATCAATATTTTTTTGATTCATTATACTGTTCATTCTTGGCAAGAGGAACTTCCATCTTTTAACCTTTCTCATGACTAAGCTGAATGTGTCTTTGGTTTGAATGAAAAATATACCATTAAGAGAAGGTAGTAAATCTTTGTTATATGGCTAATAAATAAGACCATGGTATTTTATATTTGATTTCATAATACTTTGAATTTGTAGTTAATAAGTAGACTCTCCAGCATCATATTATAAATGAAATGCCAACTTCATTTAAAATTTTATGTTGGGTCATATGATAACTTGACAATTATTTTGATAGCTACAAAGGAAATAAAACACCAGCAGAATATATTTAAGAAGCTGTGTCATCATGTACACTTAGAATCAGAAAAATAAAACTCCAATAATGGAAGCACTACTATGTTTTATTAAGTAAAATCTGAACAATAATCTTTAGATAGATTATTGATAATTTTATAGATATCTTTATATGTATATCTATATAAATATCTATATATTTATTTTTCT